CGCCGCGGCGGATGCGGGGGCCCGCGGGTCTGGCGCCGGAGAGGGCTAGGTAGGAGGGGCCGCGGGTTGCGAGGGCACACGTGGGGGAGGCTGGAGAAGTTTGGGGGCGACTGGGTCTGTGGCGGAGGTGAGGTGGGAGGGGCTTGGGGGATCTTGGGTGGAGATTGGGATAATGGGGTCCGATGGGAAAGATGGAGCTGCACGGGGGCTTTGGGGTCCGTGAGGTGTGTGGCAAGGAGAGGGGAAAGCAGCTTGGGGCGAGAGGTCAGTAGTGTCAGAGATGAAGCGGGTGGGATTTGGGCAGCTATTATCAGAGAGAATGTGATGAAAGTTTGGGGACGTAAGGAGGGGAAAAATTAAAAAGGTGGAGACATATAGGAAGACGGGGTTTCTGGAAGAGAGTAGAGAGTCTGGGGGTGATTGGCACTGGTGAAAGAGTAGGGAATACAAGAATCTGGGGATGATGCAAAACTGGAGAAAGACAAGTGCAGAGAAGAGAGAAGGGAAAGCTTGAGGAACCTTAAGAAGTAAGGGATGAGGGAGTCGGGCCAGATGCATATTCTAAGGGGAGACTGGGGTTCTGGGTAGGAAAGGAGGGTGGACGACACGGGATGACTGGATCTTTGGGGGGGGGGGCTTCTTGTAGACCTGAGGGGAGTTTCCTTTGGTATATGGGGGAGAGGGGGGTTAAAGAAGATTGGAAGGTAAATAAGGCCTTTGGTGGCAATATGGAGGAGGGAAGGTCATTGATGGGGAAAGAGAATGGAGATGAGAAGGGAGAGTGGTTGATGTGGGCACGATAGAAACGGGGGGATGCAAGTCCCAGGGTAGGTAAGGGATATAATTTATAGGCGTGGGACACCATCCTCAGGCCCTCCATCTAGTGGCTTCTCCATTTTCCTTCTCTTATCTGTTTGAAGTCATCGCTGATGGTGCGTTGGGCCACAGAGAAGGGGGTGGGTGGGGATTAGGCTCAGTGTGGACCCAGATGTGCTGCCCTGTTTCCCCAACCCCAATCGTTCTAATGTGGAGAAGATCCCACCACAGCCCACAGGCTCTTCCTGACCCTTCCTTTGCCTTCCACGGCTCTCCAGGCAGCCCCAACCAGTCCCAGTCTGCAGCCATGAAGCAAGCACCCCCACCAGGCCACTGCCAGTGCCTTCTTCTGGGCTCCTCCCCTGGCCCCACACCAAGCAGAAACATCTCCCAGGACAAAGGACACAGGGTGATTTTTGGCAGCTGAAATTGGGAAGGCCAGAGAAAGGGAGGCAGGCTGGGAAACAGGAAAAGCTGGAGCTGGAGTCTGGATTGGGAGCCTTCAGTAGCTCTTCAGATTTGGTGTGGGGGTAGGGTACTTTTGGGGCCAGTCCAGCTGGAGGTCAAGGGTGGGCCCCAAGCTGGCAGGATCCCACCTGCCTTCTGGGAAGGAAGGAGGTGGGCTCTGTAGCAACTCAGATTTTGTCTCACAATTCCTTGGACCAGATTCAGCCAAGTTCTAGGAGTTCTCAAAAGCTCTAAACTATTTACAGAGCAGTGGGGAACAGGGGACAGGAGCAAGAACCATTCCTTGGCTTAGGAATGAATCACTAAAGTCCCTTGAATTGGTTGGCACTCACTTTACCACCCAATGCCCACTTCCTTGCCACTCAAGGACCTCCCAGAGACCAGGCCAGCCCCTTCTCTGTCTATGCTCCCTGACTCCTTTCCTCAGTGCTCTTGGATAGCCACTGCTCCTCCCAGCCCTCTATTTATTCCAAAACTCCTCCTTCCCCTCACACCCTCTTCCCATTGCACTTATGTTCTCTGCGCTTCTCAGTTCAATCTTCCCACTGGACTGTGGCCCAGGACCTTTCCAAATCCCTTCCAGGCTGAGCTCTTCTCCTTCTTTTTTTAAACACTAAGGAACGGGCTAGAATGGTGACTGATGAGAGCCTAAAAAAAAAAAAATGTAGGGCCGGCCCATGGCTCACTCGGGAGAGTGCGGTGCTGATAACACCAAGGCCCCGGGTTCGGATCCCACATAGGGATGGCCGGTTCGCTCACTGGCTGAGCGTGGTGCTGACAACACCAAGTCAAGGGTTAAGATCCCCTTACCGGTCATCTTTAAAAAAAAAAAAAATGTAGGGCCGGCCCAGGGCTCACTCGGGAGAGTGCGGTGCTGATAACACCAAGGCCCCGGGTTCGGATCCCACATAGGGATGGCCGGTTCGCTCACTGGCTGAGCGTGGTGCTGACAACACCAAGTCAAGGGTTAAGATCCCCTTACCGGTCATCTTTAAAAAAAAAAAAAATGTAGGGCCGGCCCAGGGCTCACTCGGGAGAGTGCGGTGCTGATAACACCAAGGCCCCGGGTTCGGATCCCACATAGGGATGGCCGGTTCGCTCACTGGCTGAGCGTGGTGCTGACAACACCAAGTCAAGGGTTAAGATCCCCTTACCGGTCATCTTTAAAAAAAAAAAAAAAAAAAAAAAAAATGTAGACATCGGTAGGGACGGGGATGGGGAGAGTCAGAAGAGAAGCCAGGGCTACCCCTCCAATTCCTCCACTACCTGAGGGCCAGGCTCTCACACGCTTCAGCTGCAGGGATCGGCACATCCCCACTCACCCCTCACAACCCTTCACCCCAGCTCCCTGTCTGGCCCCAGCCCCCATAACCACTGATCTCCAGGCAATGGCACAAAGGAAAGGTGGAGAGAGGGGCCTGGGAGGCCCAGGCAGAGCTAGCTGTAACCCAATCCAACCCATTACCTGGGCTTGGGGTGGCAGAGAGGAATGGCTGTTAGAGAAAGCAACCCAGTGAGGAGGGAGGAAATGAAGGAGAGGGGTTAGGAAATGTGACTCAAACTGCTCCTGGTCAGTCTGGAAGTAATGAGGAAAGGTGGGTTTCATGTATCCAGAGAAAAAATGAGAGGCACAAAAAAAGTATGGTGAGCCACAAGGGAGACAGAAAGGGCACCAGGAGACGGGAGAGAAAGGAAAGACGAGATGCCCACAGTGAAATTAAGAGGCACAGAGAAGGAGAGGGGCAAGAAGCTCTTTGAACTGAAAATGGCTGAGATATCAGGGACCTAGAAAGGAAGGCAGAGAAATGGGCCCTGCCCATACAGAGCTGGAATCCTCTTAGCCCTGGAGCTGGGCAGGATGGCAGAGGGAGCCCAGTATCAAAAGTTGGAGAGTAGAAGCAGAACGGGAGGCCCACAGAGGGTACAACGGTGAAATTCCTTCCACCCCACCTCCAGGTTGGTGTCCAGTGTGGTGTCCTGCAGCACCTTGTCTCCCTCTAGTGGCCATAGCTTCCCATGTGCAGACCCACCCACTGGGATGAGCCCTTGTATCCAAGTCACTGTGAGGACGGTTGAATCTCCACAAGAGCTGAAGAGTTATAGGGGGTCTCTAGCCACATACTGGCACCCTACTCAGAGTCTGACAGAGCCAGGGGACCTATTGAGCACTTCAGGTTCTGAGTCTTGTTTACTGGAGGACTGTTTCCCCTGGCCTTCCTCTATACCCTCTAGTAACATTCTTTCCTCCCTGGATTCCCATCTTGCAGGGGGTGATGGCCATGAAGTCCTGTTCCATTCCAGAACCAACCAGGATTTTGTTAGAAGTCCAGTACGGGAGCTGCTCTGGTCCACAGCTTCAACCTTTCTTTGGTCAAAGACTCTGGGAATTTAGGGCCAGCCTGGGCCGGCCCAGCCCCATGGTTCACTTGGGAGAGTGTGGTGCTAATAACACCAAGGCCACGGGTTTGGATCCCCATATAGCGGTGGCTGGTTATCTCACTTGGGAGAGCATGGTGCTGACAACACCAAGTCAAGGGTTAAGTCACCCCCCAAAAAAGACTCTGGGAATCTGAAAACAGTTTAGACCCCTTTCCCCCCAAAATGCACATACACACACACTTTTTGATAGTTTTAGGGACTCCACAACCCCAGGTTAGGAACCCCTTATTCACCTGGGCAGTGGGGCCAGGCTTGAGAAGGCAGGGGCAATGTGGACTCCACCCAGCCAGGGTTGGGTTGGTGTGCCATCATCTTGGCCATATTTGTTCAGTTCATCTTCCTCTTTTTGTGCCCTCCCCAGCTCTGCTGTCTAGTTTTGCCAACTCCCAGGTACTCTATCTTCTATGCCCTCATGTGAACTAGAGTAAGACTCCTCAGACACGATAATGCACTGTGATTCAGACTTTAATGGTGGTGCTCATTTCAATGCCACAGAGGTGGTGGCAATTGTGGAACATGGCGCGGGAGTGAGCCATTGCTCTGGTGCAGCTGGAGGAAGAACAGGGAACCTAAGGGCTGGGGAGAGATTTATGGGAAGAGTCCCCCAGGCACACAGCTTCCACTCTGGACAGACCCAGGCTTCAGGTAGCACACACGAAAGAACTGACGTCAAGGCCCTTTTCTGTTATTCTTCCTATTGTAGCAAGACTTGCTACAAGCAAGGTCATCCTGGGATCTACGGCCACATGAAATGCATATAATCCCCTCAAATTAGGTCAGTTTTAGGCCCTAGAATTACGGGGAAATGATTAATTAACAGGATGAATGAATAAACAAACGAACAAACAAACAAATAAATAAATAAATACAGTAAAGTCTTGCCAGGTATGGCAACACACCCAGCACTCCCCTACACTTCAGCACTATGCACAGTTCATGGCCTGTATGCAATATGGAAGACATGTGGAACAAGAGCAAAGCACATGTGACACATAACCCCCTCACACACCAACCCTGATGCTCCCATTCTTCCTCAGTCTCATTTCCAGTTTTTGAAGCAAGAGAGAATAAAGACTGATCATTCTTCCTCAGTCTCATTTCCAGTTTTTGAAGCAAGAGAGAATAAAGACTGATCATTCTTCCTCAGTCTCATTTCCAGTTTTTGAAGCAAGAGAGAATAAAAAGGAAAGAGAAGTGGAGAGTGTGGAACCTCAAAGAGTGGGATCCAGAGAGGAAGGGCTCAGAGATAGCAAGGAGCTGGGTAAGCCAAGGAGCAGCCAGAGCAGGGTAATCAGGGAAGTTTGGGGCACCCTGGGGCTCAGGGTAGCCCAAGGGGTGAACTATCACAGATCAGGACAGCAAGAAAGAGGTTCCAGGAGGATGGGGCAGAGGTTCCAAGTCTCCAGGCAAGCAGAGGGATCACAGCACACTGGGATTGCGGAAATTGTGTCCAGCGAAGCGAGCTTCATCCCCCAGCTCTTCTTCAATTCTGAGAGAAATGAGCCAGAAGGGAAATGGTCAGAGAAGCAGGAAGATCCAGCTTCTCTCTCCAGGAGTCCCCCCAGCCTCCAACCACCCTCACACCACCTGTTCTTTTGTGTCCTGCTCCAAGAGTGAACATTCCCTGGCTTTCCCATGTGACCTCAGGGATCAAGCCATCAGTAAACTCATCAAGCAAAAACAAATATTTTGTGGACATCTATTCTTATCCAGGCCCTGGGCACTAGAGATGGAATGGTGGGCAAACAGGGCTTTTAATCCTCTGGGCCAGGGGCTCCCATTCCCCAGGTACCCTCACCTCATGAGCTGGTTGTACTTAGCCAGACGCTCAGAACGGCAAGGGGCACCAGTCTTGATCTGAAACATTCCGAAATACGTACAACTCAGTGGCTGCCCCTCCCCGCCCTGAAAAGAAACTTCTACTCTTTTGAAACTCACGTAACAATGCCACAAAGATCTCCCTTGACTCACCAGGTTGTCTCCACTCACCTGGCCTGTGCACAGTCCAACCACCAGGTCAGCGATGAACGTGTCCTCAGTTTCTCCTGAGCGATGACTCACCATGACCCCCCAGCCATTCTCCTGGGCCAGCTTGCACCTGCATCCATACACCAGCACTGATCCCCCAGCCCCTCACACTAGGCAGTCTCTTCCCAGCCCCAACCTTGGTCTATAGCAAGAAACATCTGGAGGGAAGCTGTGTGGGAGGGGAGCAGAGCAGAAAGAATTGTGAAACTGACTCCAGCTTCCCTCCTCTCTTCAGCATCTCTGGGCTTGCAAGAGAGATCCTATAGAAACGGGGCCAAGTAGGAGAGCATTCCCAGGGTCCAGAAGTCACTCACGCTTGGATGGCTTCAGTGACCGAGCCGATCTGGTTGACCTTGAGCAGCAGGCAGTTGCAGGCCTTCTCTTCTACTGCTTGCTCAATACGCTTCGGATTGGTCACTGTCAGATCATCACCCACAATCTGGATCCCTACATTGGCTGTGAACTTGGACCAAGCAGTCCAATCATCCTGGTCAAAAGGGTCCTCAATGGAGACCACTGCAGAGGAAGCAGTGAAGGGCTGTTGATCCTCTCTGGGTCTCTGCATTAGGCGGGAGCACCCCCTTTCACTCTGAAATGTACAAGTCCCCTGGCTAACTAAGCCTGTTCAACCTTGCTCCACCTAAACCCACCTCCCAAATAAGCCCACCTTCACTGATTCTTATCCTGATCCTTATTCCATAAAATTTTCCAATACAAGGGTTCAGAACTGTCCTCCCAACCTAGCTTTGCATTTTCCTATTCTCACTGCCTGGGAGCCCTTCCTCAATATAATCTAAATCCCTCATTCTGCAAATTTATGTCTATTTTCTCTTGCCGTGTCTCAGGAAAATGGAAACCAACTGCCTCCACCTGGGGTAAAAGCCCTTGGAAGATTTGGAGAGGGCAATTCAGTTTCTCCTCAGCCTTCTTTTCTATTCACACATTAGTCCCAGCTCCCTTTAGCATCCACAATTTCATCAATCAAAGATACTAAATATGCCAGTTCCCGGCTAGGTCCAGTCACCCTCTCACCATCATCTGGTTCCTTCCAGAGCCCTTGACTTTAAACAGGAAGCAGACGGAACAGATTCATAACAGCTACCTGCACATTTACATTACATAGAAATCCAGTCTACAGGAGACTCCTTGACCCCATCCCTGTTTTCAGGTTCCTCTTAGGACACCTCCACCTGACACCTGAGTCAGTACAACGTAAGGTCCAAAGTTGTCCCAACACGTCCCTGCCTGCCACCTGCTCTACCCCCTGCCCTCTCTCCCACACCCCTTGCTCTCACCAGGATAGTCCCTGACAAAGTCCTGGTAGAGGGCCCCCAGCTGGTCCCCAGTAATATATCGGGAAGGGTCAGCTGGAGACTTGAAGTCCAAATCATATTTGCCATCACGATAAAACTCTGAGGCAGCGACATCCATGCCAATGACAATCTTTTCTGTGTAGCCAGCCTTGTCAATGGCTTCCTTCACCAGCTCCAAGGCTGGGGATGGAAAACAGTGAGATTATAAGCAGGGGAGGTGGGCAAGGAGGGGAGAGAGAAAGAAAAATTCAGAGCAGAAGCGGAGGGATGCTGCTAGGGGAAGTGTGGCTAAGGTCGATGGTGGGGTTAGCCCCAGGTCTGGGAGGAGGCCACCTTCTAGGAAGACAGAGGAATGTTTTTTATTGGGATCATGTCATCTAAGCACTTTACATATACGATCTCACTTAATCCTCACAATGATGCTATGAGGTAAATACTGTTATTATTCCCATTTTACAAATAAGGAAAATGAAGCACAGAGAAGTTAAGAAAGATCACCAGCCAGGAGTTCTTCAAATCAAGATTCAAATAAATCCAGGCAATTTGGCCCCAGAACCATAACGCTTTTTTTTTTTTTTTTAAAGATGACCGGTAAGGGGATCTTAACCCTTGACTTGGTGTTGTCAGCACCACGCTCACCCAGTGAGCTAACCGGCCATCCCTATGTGGGATGCGAACCCTTGGCCTTGGTGTTATTAGCACCGCACTCTCCCGAGTGAGCCACAGGCCGGCCCCAGAACCTTAACTCTTAACCACTAGCTATTTTGTTTCCATCTACTATACAGTTTCTACCAGGGCACAGAAAGACTGGGGATTCTGGAGGCCTAAGAGGTTGAGGTGGAGATGGGATCGATTTGGAGTGGATTCCCTGGAGTGTGGTATATCGCATCAAACTGAGACAAAGGATGAGATGAATCCCACTGGTCGCCTGGATCATTCCCCAGTATTCCCAGGGGCTCCAGCGAGAACTTACAGATCCTAACAGACCTGGCCGGGCAGGTAAAAGACTGTCCTCCTAGGTCCCCATGTGAATTTGGCACGCCCTCTGGAACCCACTCCAAGGACTGGTACCTCCTGGAGTTTGCAGGAGTTCAAGGACCCTCCACCTATATTCCCCAGGACTTGGTGAAGTGTGCAGCCCTTTCTGATGTCCCAGGATAGAGTGAGACTTAGAGCTGTGAGCAGGGCTCCTGGCCTCACCTTCACTGTTCTCCAGGATATTGGGGGCAAAGCCACCTTCATCCCCTACATTGGTGGCATCCTTGCCATACTTGTCCTTGATTACCCCCTTGAGTGTGTGGTACACCTCTGCCCCAAGTCGCATGGCGTCCCGAAAGCTCTCAGCGCCCACAGGGAGGATCATGAACTCCTGCATGGCCAGCTTGTTCCCAGCATGAGAGCCACCATTGATCACATTGAAGGCCTGGGGAGCCACGGAAAAACAGAAGGGTCAAAGAGCCCTGTCCTCCCCGCTCATGGGAGTGTTAACCCAAGATCCCAAACTTCCCCCTGCTCCCCAGACTCCGAGTCTCATGTCCCCATCCTTTCTCTTTAGCTACCCAATCCACTTTCCTCCCATCACTCCTCACAAGGCTTCATGCTCCCTCCTCCGCCCACCCAGGGAGAGGCACAGTGCTCACCGGCACAGGTAGGATGAGGTCTGAGTTCCCAGCCAGCTGAGCAATGTGGCGATATAGAGGCAATTCCTGCTCAGCCGCTCCTGCCTTACACACGGCCAGGGACACACCCAGGATGGCATTGGCCCCAAATTTGGCTGGGAGATTACAGAGGAAGGCACTGAGCAAAAATGTCCCTTTCTTCTTCTAGCCCCTGCCTCCACCTACACTCCCCAAAGGGAGCCAGTAAAGAAGACCCCCTCCTTCTTCCCCACCCCAGCAAAATCACAGCTGTCCTTTCCTGCAAATAGCAGGGAAGGCAGAGGAAGTGGGGAAGAGGTGACTGGAAAGTGCGGTGAGCCATATCCCTGTCTAAACAGCCCCAGGACCATAGACTATCTCATGCCAACCCCCTCCTCCTTATGCTACAAAGAAGTTCTTCCTTCTGTCTAATGTCACTCCTCCCACTGCAGTTAAACTCTTCTTCTCTTGCTCTGGCTTTGGGAGGAGGACTTCTGTCCTCCTGAGGAAGCCCCACAGCACTGGCCCCTTCAGTTCTCTGTCTGCTCCACAGTCCCCACCCTCACGCCTACCCACTTTCTTTTTTTTTTTTTTTTTTAAAGATGACCGGTAAGGGGATCTCAACCCTTGGCCTGGTGTTGTCAGCCCCACGCTCAGCTAGTGAGCAAACCGGCCATCCCTATATAGAGTCCGAACCCGTGGCCTTGGTGTTATCAGCTCCGCACTCCACCGAGTGAGCCACGGGGCCGGCCTTAAGAATTTGATTTTTTTTTTTTTTTTTCTTTTGTCTTTTTTCCGTGTCCAACGCCTACCCACTTTCTTTTTTTTTTTTTTTTAAAGATGACCGGTAAGGGGATCTCAACCCTTGGCCTGGTGTTGTCAGCCCCACGCTCAGCTAGTGAGCAAACCGGCCATCCCTATATAGAGTCCGAACCCGTGGCCTTGGTGTTATCAGCTCCGCACTCCACCGAGTGAGCCACGGGGCCGGCCTTAAGAATTTGATTTTTTTTTTTTTTTTTCTTTTGTCTTTTTTCCGTGTCCAACGCCTACCCACTTTCTTTTTTTTTTTTTTTTAAAGATGACCGGTAAGGGGATCTCAACCCTTGGCCTGGTGTTGTCAGCCCCACGCTCAGCTAGTGAGCAAACCGGCCATCCCTATATAGGATCCGAACCCGTGGCCTTGGTGTTATCAGCACCGCACTCCACCGAGTGAGCCACGGGGCCGGCCTTAAGAATTTGATTTTTTTTTTTTTTTTTGTCTTTTGTCTTTTTTCCGTGTCCAACGCCTACCCACTTTCTCCCAGCCCCTGCTTACATTTGTTCTCAGTTCCATCCAACTCCAGCATCAGGTTGTCCAGTTTCTCTTGCTCCACCACAGAGAGACCCTGTGGGCAGAACCCCCATCACCCAGGGCCAGGATGGGGGCTGGGCCCTAAGGCAGAGGACCCCCCCATTCACACACAGACTCACGTATGGTCAGGGTCCAACCAGGTCCCTGTGACAGCAGCCTGCCTGGATTAGGGGACAATAAGGAGTCTTTTCCCCACCCTTCCCCTTGTAACCATGGTTTCTAAAAGGTGAGCCTTTCTCCCTCCCTTTCTTCCTCCCCTGATCCAGGATTCCTCCCAGGATTCTGGTCCTGCCATCCCCAGCAAAGAGTGGGCCTCACTGAGCTGATGAGGGCTGGTGCAATGGTGGTGTTGATGTGGTCCACTGCCTTCAGGACACCTGGGGAGAGAAAGGCAGGCTGTAGTGGATCTCGTTAGGAGGGGCCAGAGGGAAAATGGGAGGAGGGGGAAGGCATGCTAGAAGAGGGCTGGGGACTGGTGTGAGGTAGCTTATAAGGCTGAGGGGTGGGAGAGCCTGGAAAGAAAGGGCCTCACCTTTGCCTAAGTAACGCTGTTTGTCCCCATCTCTCAGTTCCAGGGCCTCATAGATGCCAGTAGAGGCTCCACTGGGCACTGCAGCCCGGAAGAGACCTGGGAGAGGATATGGAATGAGGGAGGGAGCAGGACACTACAGCCGCAAGTCCCTGCCTGCTACATCCAGCCCTCTCCCCACACTGCTCCCTAATACCATGCACATGCATGATGCACACACACACACACGCACACACAGACTGAGCCAGGTGCACAAGCAGTGGTCTCCGCACCCACCCATCTGAGGCCCCACGTATACAAGTGGGAGCTCACAGACACGAAGCTATGCCAGGCGGCACACCTTTATGTGCGTGCACACACACACACAAGTGCACAGCAGACATGCAGAGGCAGGCATGTCTCACACACCACACTAGAATTAAGACCTGCCTATCCTGGCTCCCCTACAGAAGGAGGATCCAACCTCAAGATCCCAGCATCCCATTCCTACTGAGTGTCACAGAAGGCCTCCCAACCGGGCCAAGCCCAGCATGGGTTGAAGTGGGGACTGTGAGATGGCCCAGACCCCACCCATTACCTCTGGCGGTATAGAGATCCACTTCTACTGTAGGATTCCCACGGGAGTCCAGGATCTCCCGAGCCCAGATCTTCTGTATGGACATGCTGGCTGGGATCTCCTTGGGTGGAAGGAAAAGAAAGAGAGATAGGAGGCTTGGAGGGGTGGAGCCTGAGATCAAGGGAGGGGCAGAGGCTGGGAGGAATGGGAAAGAGGTTACCGCAGTGGGTGGGGGTGGGGAGGAGCTGGCTGCAGTCAGCGGCTGTAGAAGGGATTCCTTCCTCCCCCTAAGGGGAGTGGAGAAGGTCAATGCAGTGAGGAAGGGGAGGTCACTGCAGTGGGGGGCGGGGCACGATCACTGAGGAGACGGGACAAGACCGCAAAGCGTAGAGGAGGGGCCCTGCAGTGGTTCCCTCGCCCCTCAGCGGCTTAGCCGCCGGCGGGGTTCCCCCAGATCTCTACGGAGCGGAATCGCTGCCAGGCTGGCATTCCTCCTGAAGCCAGGGGGAGGATGGGTTGTCTGCACAGCCGGGTCCTCTCCTCCACAGCACCCACCCCTCGCCAGGTTAACACCCCGGCCTGCCGGGACTCTGCCCCCAAGATCCCAATGTCTCTCCCAAACATCGGTCCCCCTCTTCCCGAAAGAGAGACAGTAGAGAGGCCTGGGAAGAGGGTCCTGGGGAAGCCCTCCAGCCCAGGGGTGCAGCAGGGAGGGTGCGGAGAGTTAAGGCTGGGCTCGTCCTCTCCGCTCCCCCCAGACAATCCCCGTCCTCCATCCTTCCCCGCGCAGCTGCAGCTGGAGAAGGGACTGTAAAAGGAGAGGGCGACGTGGGGAAGCAGTGGGAGACAGGGGAGCCTGGAGGAGGTGTGGGCGAGAGAGGACGTTTCCCCAGATGCAGAGCAAAAGGCACGCGCCAGGGTAAAATGCACAGCCCGGAGACTCAGGCTCAGACGGGGTGGGCAAGGGCGGCGTTGGAGAGGCAGGTGCCGAGAGGGCCGGCACCTAAATGAGGGGGCGGGCGCCACGGGCGGGAGATGCGCGAAGGCCAGGGGCGGGGGCTGGAGGGGCGCCGGGACCGGCCGGGACTTCACCTCGGGACTGCAGACAGCCGGTGGCGGTGGCGGCGGCGGCAGCGGCAGCGGCGGCACAGAGAGAGCGGGAGCGGCGGCGGCGGCGGCTGCA